GTGTGAGCATCACATTGACAGTGCAGGAGGTCAGTGCTTCAGTGCGTGCTGCAGCAAACTCTTAAAGAGAAGGAGTAGGCAGTGTGTAATTAAACCTGAGCTCATCAGCCTGGTACAGGAATTCACCTGGCGCAGAGAGAGAGATTTCTCTCCTGTTCCATGATGTGTGACAAGACTTCCCACCACGCTCCGATGCTCCAAGTCCCTCCTCGGGGGCTGGAACAGTGCAGAAACACCAGCGCTGCTCACACTGCCTAGGGAGAGGGTACCCCAGTGCCATGCAGCTGGGATGAGGCATTCAGGGGGTGCAAAGCTCTCCCTGCAGGAAAGGAATCATTCCCCAGTGTAATAGCACTTGTGAGGGGAATACTGATAGCACAAGCAAGCAGGAGAGCATCTCCACTTGAGCCAGGGGGGGAAGCCATGGAGCATCCCTTCTTGGTCACAGCATCTGACTGTGGGTCTGCGAAGAGCATCCTCAAGGCTTGACATCTTCCCTGCTGCCTGGGTTTGTCAGGTGGGGAGCTGGCACATGTGGACACCATGGCCCCAAGGCTGTAAAGAGACGGATTGCTCCTAGAAAGATGCACTTTCTCCACTCCTGCTGATACAGCTCAGCTCCATTTCAAACCAAGCGCATAGGGAGGGACTGGGGCTGGGAAACGAATCAGTATAAAAGGAGAGAGTGGGGTGGTCAGGAAAGACCAGGGGCTGCCCAATGCATCTATGGGCAGACAAAACCACCCAGGTCTGCAGCACCTTCCTGAGACGAGCACCCTCACAAAGCCTGCAGAATGAATTCATTCTGAATCATTCAAGTCTTGAATTGGCTTCTGTCAAAAGAGAAGCAGGCTGGGACCAGCAGCCAAAGCCAGCAGGGTGTCCCAGTACCACACAGAGGCAACAGCATTGAAGAGCTTGGGGGTTAAGTTATGTTTTCATGGCTCTCTTTCCAGGACAGCCAAATATCCCCTTGGGCAAGCACAGAGCTTCCCAGAGAGCAGCTATGCAGAGCAGGCAAAGGGAAGTAAGCACCATGCACAACTTCTAACCCCAAGGCAATGGGTTACTGACTCATCAGAACTAGGGATGTTGATTAAAAATGACCAAGTGAAAGAAAGGAACACCTTTTTCTGATGAAGCATCATGGAATGGTTTGGGTTGGAAGGGAGCTTAAAGCTCATCCAGGTCCAACCCCCTGCTATGGGCAGGGGCACCTTCCACTAGAGCAGGCTGCTCACAGCATCAGGATGAGGACCACACTCACTAACCTCATCATACACAAGTGGGGAGCATTTCCTAACACCCCCGTGGCACAGAGCTCATGCTCCATAACACACAGCACCATTTACACTGCATGAAGGCAGAGATGGCCACAAGCAGGGACAGGAGCAACCAGTGCTCCCACTGCTGCAGGTGGCTGCCCCCTTCTTCATGGACACCAGATGGATTGGGAGCCATGGGAGGAGAAACAGAGCTAGATCTGGCAAGGCAAAGCCATAACAGGGTGCCAAAGAGAGCCTCCAATAACCAGGAGAAACACAACCCCCAGGACTGAGAGCACTGTCAGATTAATCCACTGACTGATTTCCTATGCACACTTCAAGAGCCACCTGCACCAGCTCTTTCTCTGCCTAACCCCAGTGCTGTCAACCCTGTATTTATGGGGCTGCCAGGCACAAGAAAGCATTTTCCCAATGTTTAATTTCTCAGATGTCCTCATCCCACATGGCACTGCTGCTTTTATGCATCCATAAAGAGGTGCTTAGTGCTGCTCCCTCAGCCCGGGGCGACGGGTCAGGCCAGCATCAGTCTATCCATGCTCGCCAAATGGAAATGGGTGTCCAGCCCCTCGGCCTTCTCGGGTGGTTCCAAACCCAGCAGAGACTGGTTGGTGCCATGAACACATCTGCAAAGGTGGATGCCAGCGAAAGGGGTGTCTCCCACCACCCTGGTGAGCATCCATCATTGATGCTGGCTTGAGAGGGTACCCCTGCAGAGCACCAAGGGAGGCAGGTGGAAGGGAAAGAGGGATGATGGGGAGCTAACACTGAGAAACCAGTGCTTTATCCTATTGATTCACCTAAGCAACCTGGCTTCAGGGCTCTGAGAGGGTTCATTGTTCTCCCTGCCCTCCACAGAGCAAACAGCAGAAGCAATCTTGCCTCCCGCACACAACTCCACCAAGGGATGCTGAAAACAAACAGGAATCAAGCCTCTCCTCACAGATGCTGCAGGAACAAGCTGAGGGGAGGAGGTACCCTCCCACCATTTACTGCACCCCAGGGGATGCAGGAAGGCACAGCCCACCCTGCCTACCCCCTGCACCACACCTGCAATCCTGCCCTAGGGGGATGCACCTGAGCCAACATCCACCCTCAACCAGCTCCCTACGCAGACGCTCCCCTACTGAGGAGGAGAATTAACCCACTCGGATGCCCCAGGCCAGTCCTTCAATTGGAGAGAAGGCAAGAGCCTTCACAGAGCACTGCATTTAAGGCAACCAGGCCTTACGACTCCATAAAGCTTAACGATCCCATTCCCAGCTGTGGGAATGCCAGCGGCGTGGGAGATTTGGGAGAGAGCAGTGAGTTAACAGCATTAACGGCCTTCATTTGGAATGGAACAGAGACCACTCTATAAATCACTGTGTGGCTGGAGAGTTTTCTAGGGTAGAAATGGGTACGAGGGAGAAAAGGAAGAGATAAATAGCACACAGGTGTTAATTACAGACACCTCCCTGCAGTGTCTTTCACCTCCAGCATCACCAAGCACCAGGGAGCAGTCATGGCTGCAGCACTTTATGTGTGCAAGACAGGGTCATTGCAGAAGAGATGATGCCAAAGGTGCATGAAGCCACTTCCTTCATGAGGAAAACTGAGGTTTGACATTGCCTGGGTTGACAGTGATTCCTGCCCAGCTTTGCACCACTGTTTGGAAGGGAAAGGACCACTATAAACCTCCCAGCAGCAGGGTCCCCACCAGGTGCGCATCCTCAGCGGGTACCCATGGGCAGAGATGCATTGGCTCACAGCACAAGTTGCCAGCTAGTGGCAACCCACTGCTCACCATAGTGCTTGGAGAAGGGCATGGTCTGCCCCAGGAGATGAAGAGGTGATGAACCTTGAGGAGCTCAGATGGAGAAGCAGCAACCAAAGGGCCCTGCTGTGCTTAATGCTGCCACTATCACACTGTTGTGCTGGGACACAGCCCCTGCAGTTGAAAGCACAAGCAGAGCCCTGCCTAAATCACACAATCCCAGCCTGGTTTGGGTTGGAAAGGACCTGGATGCTCACCCAGTTCCAGCCCCCTGCCGTGAGCAGGGACACCTTCCACTAGAGCAGCTTGCCAAAGGAGGGGCCTCATTTGGCAGCCCACCCGCATGGGTAGTAGTTCTCCATCTCTTGTGGGGACCACAGAGCTTTTGGAGTATGTCATCCGCATGGGCTGGGCTGCTAATATTTTGGAGCCCTAAGCTAAGGAGCTACACCTACGTCTGCTTTTATTTTTGCCTTAGATGTCTCCTCTGGTCCAATTATAGACTAATCACATTTTATGTAGCATCCGTTTCTCCCCTGCCTCCTTTCCCACCCCCAGAAGAGAAGGCAAGGAGGAAAGAAACAAACGTGTTATTAACTGACTGCTGTTTTCTCCCCTCCTTCTCTGGGCGTGTGGGACATGGGGAAGGGGACTGGAGAACCTGCCAGCAAAGAGCGGCGCGCTCAAATGATGCTCAGTGGAAACAAAGCTCCTGCAATGGCATTATCTGAGCGTGTGTGTGCCTGCATCCAACAGCTTTTAAAGCATCAACTGGTAACAGCATGGCCTCAAAAAGCAAAGTTCCTGCAGGCTTGGGGGACCAGAAGGCTTTAGGAAGCTCAGAGGAAAGGTGTGAGGTGCTCCTCACACATAGGGAACCCATAGGTGAAAGACAATCCGTAAGTGGTCCAGGGAAAATGCAAGTCCATAGGAAACAAAGGCGCTGTCCTTGCCTGTGAATGACACACAGATGATGGGAGATGGAGAGGGAATTGCTAAGAGAGCCCAGAAGCAGAAGCCTGTGGGACCTAAGCAACCTAATCTTAACACCAGCTTCCATTTGGCTCTCAGTGCTGGTAGAGCTGAAACCTTTTGCCAGCTGGAACAGGAGCCCAACAGATTTGGTGGTAGCGCTTAGGCAGCGTTAGGAGCTGACTGATCCAAGGATGGATGGGCCGGGATGGGATGATTCAACTTTGGCTGTGCAGCAGAAGCAGTGATGTAATGAACAGGCAACAGCATCTCAGCAACCTCTGGTAGCCTCAAAACCACTGCTTATTCCACACCCCACACACTTGGGCTGCAGAGAGTCCTACTTTCTTCATGCCCATTTAACCTCCTCCTGCACAACCCACTCCAGTCCTTTGCCAGCGAGACCAAGCCCTGCTAAAGCAGGAGATGCTGTGTCTGCATCACTCCCTGTGCTCCCCTCTGACACCACAGAGGAACCAAGGGAGGCAGAACACTGTTTCTGGCTATTTCATCATGCTAACAACAGTCCATCACCTTCTCCTTTCCCTCCCATCACATACCACGGCCATAGATGCTGTTTGCTTCTTTAACCTTGGTTTTGCTCTGTGCTTGCAGAGCAGAAAGTTCCTTCTGCTTCCCCCTTCCTTTTGCCAACATCCAGGAAGACCCACAGGGAATAAACATAGAATAGCCATGGAATTAAGCCTAAGGTCCCTTATACTTTGTTCCACAGCCCCATGAACCAATAAAGCACTACAAACCACTGGATGATCCCATCTCCCTTTCCAGCCCTTTCCCATTTCCACCCAGGAAAACCTTCTGCAGGGAAAAGGAGCCAGGAGGAGCAGTTGCTCTGCCCAGCATCCAACTCCTGCATCCCCAGGGCAGGGATGAGGACATGCAGCACAGGGAAATAGATCACTGGGTCAGGAGGAGCACGAGAGGCTCGAGTGCATCCTGAGCATAGGAGCAGAGCAATGGGTACTTACCATCGCGTGGCGTTGGCGGCGTCTGAGTAAAGTAACTATTGGGCTTGTCTGCAAAGAAACACAAAACAAGGGGCCATCAGCACTTCCCTTTGGTACACCTTCTCCTCTGCCCCCCATACCCCTGCCCATCGCTCCCCAGCAACTGCTGGACCAGCATTTCCTTCCTTCAGGCACTGACCCCCAGGGAATGCACAGGAGCAAGAAGGGAACAGGAGCTCCAGCTCTCCCATTTGCATCAATGAAGCATCTCTGGGTTGGGATCTGGCAGCCTGGCAGGATCCTGTGCATCTCACCAGGGCTGTGATGTGAATCACCTCTCACACCTCTCACCTGGGTACCAACTCACCAAGTCACCTGGGGTGAGCAGGACAGCAGTAGGGATGCTGCACCTCCAACCAAAGGTGGGAGAATGGGGTAACCTGGGGCAGCAGAAGGTGAAAGCTCCCATAGACAGGACCACAGATCCCAGGGCAAAGTGGGACCTTGCCTTGCCACTGCCAGGCCTTACATCTGGATATCCCGATGAGCCCAAAGCCAGGCTGAAGGCTTTGCCTGCCCTCTAAAGGCTTTCCTCACAGCAGGCATTGGGCACTTTCCAGCATCAAGGAGGTAAAAGACACCTCTCGTGATGGAATCTTCCTCACAGGCTTTGGGGTGGTGAGCACCCATGCAAGGAGGGGTGAACAGAGCACAGTGCCTACAGCAGCCAGTGATTCATGGATGTACCCACATCAGCTGGGAGCCAACTGTGTGACCCACTCAGTCAGACCAGGGCAGCCTGACCTCAAGGAGAGCCCTGTCTTGCCCGGACCTGCTGATTCTTTAGAGCAAGAGAATATACAGAGAGCAGGGAGCAGCCTAGGAGATACCTCACATCCATCACACACAGGCACAGGTTGAGTTTCCTTATCACAAGGGAGCAGCAAAAGCCTTGGCCAGGGCAGGACTCACATCGTTTGCCCCTCACCTCCCACACAGCCCTGCTGAGATCCCCCCCCGGAGCATCACCCACACTCAGACCTCAAGCAGCAGATCAGGACACGGAGTATTTTGGGGACACGGGACGCAGAGGGAGCTGGTGCAGCCAAAAGCATGAGCACGCAGCGGGGAGCTGGAGCTGGAGCTGGCTCACACACACCCACATGCACAGCATCAGCTAAGGGAAAAGGAGGGTAGAGCTACACAGCGAGCTGTCACCTCCCCAGACAGCAGCAGACAAGCAATGGCAGCATTGGGATGCTGCTCCCACACTGACCTGACCCCTGCTTTTCCCTCCCCTGCTCTTCCCACACGCCCACAGACACCTACAGTTGTTGAGGAAGAGCAGAACGGCAAATCCCAGCGTGGAGGTGGCCAGGAGGATGAGGCAGATGTTGCATGGGATCATGAAGTACCGCACCACCAAGGAGACCTTGTGCTGGTACAGCCGGTCCCGCTCCAAAGCCCCCGGCGCCATGGGGTACTGGCACGCTGTCATGCTGCAGGCCAGAGCTCGACCCACCGATGCCCCATCCAAGGCAGAGCAGCCACAAAGCTCACATGAATCCCTCTTCTCCCCCTCCCTGGGTGTCTTCAGCAGCAGCAAGACCTAAGTTTTCCCAGAGGTTCCCATTCTCTGCTCACAGCAGAGCAAGGTGGCACCTTCAGGAGCATCAGTGTGTCCCCATATCTGCCATCTCAAAGCAGGGTTATGCCGAAGGGGCAGGTCCGAGCCCGCTCTGGAAGGACACACACAGCCCTGAGCTCAGCAATCCCTCTTCCAGCCCGGCAGGTGTCATGGAACAACAGGATCCGTGTCAATCCGCACCTTGCAAACTAAACAACCCCAGGCAAAAGTGCTGAGAGCTCAAGTTCTGCAGCCAAGACCACCGGGATGGGGACAAGCCGCTACTGGTGTGGGAATGATGGAGGCTGCCACAGCCCCGATGCACGCTGCCTCCCAGGAGCGGGGCTGGGACAGGGGTGATGCGAGGGGTGCCAGCATGGGACCCCTCTTGGGCTTACAGCCTCGGAAACATCCGTATTCCCTCAGTATCCTCTTGGTGGGGATGGGAGGTGAAATCTCACCACCCCGGCGGTGTGCAGCAGCCTCTCGCTCCAGGAACACCGAGCTCCCTCCGCTGTCTGTGCCTCCTTTAGCTGCGGATGCTCCGGAGCAGGTATCCCACGCTCCCAGCTTCCCAGGAATATCCTCGCTCCGGGAGGATGCTTCAGCAGCCGCACACCGCGGCTCCGCTCACATCCACGCTCCTCCACCCCGCAGCCTCACGTCGCTCCCCAGCCTCAACAAACCCGTTCTGCCGCTCCGGTCCTCCCGTCGGGCTCGCTGCTCCCCCCGCACACCTCACCGGCGGAGAGCACCCGGGGCACAGCGGCACCGCTTCCTCACGCAGGGACATGCCAGTGCTTCCCGGAGCGATCCCGCCATGGGGCAGCGGCACGGCCGGGATGGAGCGGACAGAGCGGCCCCAAGCCCGGCTCCCTGCTCCCTGCTCCCGGCGTGGAAGGGCCGCGCAGCAGCGCACAACGGAGCTCCCGCCCGCCCCACGCCCTCAAGTTTCCCCGCCCGCTCCGCTGCCCCCGTGCCCCCCCCTTCCTTCTATCCCCGCTCCCCTCCCTCCTTCCCCGCCCGCCGCGGGTCGAGCCCCGGTGAGCGGAGGGAGCCAGACCCCCCCCAATAGACAACAAAGGAGCGGGCGCGGCGCAGACAAAGAGCGGGGAGCGCGGCCCCGTTCCCCCGGGACCAGCCCGGCCGGGACCCATCGCTCCCCCCGCCCCATCGCAGCATCGGACCCTCGCCAGCGTTAGGGGTGAGAGCCCCGGGGGCAGCGCAAGGAGCGGCCCCCGCCGTGCCCATTGTCTGGGTATGGTGCTAAAGGGAGGGTTTAGATGGAGAGGAGAAGGCTCAGGGATGGCTCCCTCATGGGAGGATGGAGCCGGGAGGGGCTGGGCTCTGCTCCCAAGGGATGGGACAAGAGGAACCGGCCTCAAGCTGCACCAGGGCAGGTTTAGATGGAGCTGAGGAACAATTCCTGCCTCAAAGGATGCTCAGGCATTGGAACAGGCTGCCCAGGGCAGGGCTGGAGCCACCGTCCATGGAAGCATTCACACGCCCTCAGTGCCATGGGTCAGTGGTGGCCTTGGCAAGGCTGGGAATGGTTGGACTGGATGAGCTTGAAGGGCTTTTCCAACCCACAGCAGCCCCACACTAGCACCCAGAGGGAGCAGGCGCAGAGAGGGTGCTCTTGGGTCCGTGCACCACCAGCACAGCAGCGGGATGGGGGAACAGAGAGCATGGGGAGAGGAAAGATTCCTCGAGGGAAGGCCTCGGAACGAGCTGAGCTCTTGCTCACCATGGAGGAACAAAGCAGCTCTGGAGGCTCGCAACAAAACCCTGCAAGAGGAGGGCTCTCTGGTTACCTGAATCCACCCAGCCCTGTGCTTCCAGGGGCTGGTTCATCACCCAAGCCATGGGACACGAGCGCTTCTGCACGTCCCCTGTCCCACAGCGCTGCGGAGGGGCTGCCCTTGCTGTACCACATCCTCAAAGCCCGCTCCCATTCTCCCCGGGCAGGATGAGCACTGTGGGGATGTGGCAGCGGGGAAGCCCGCTGTGGTCAAACTGGGAAGCTCATTGCAGAGAAGCTGCTCTAAGTTCCTCCTGTCTCCCTGCCCAGGACGGGAAGCACAGCCTGGGGAGGTGCTCAGTGCATGGAAATTCCCACTCCTCCAACAGACAACACCAACCCAAGGGGGAGAACAGCGCATCCCTCCCAATCCCAGCCTCGCTCCTCCCTCACCTTGGCAATTAGCCTGGAGCCCGAGGGACACAAACACTGGAGCTGAATCCAGCTCCTCTCCCCTCCGGTGGGGAGATGTGGAGGAGGCTGGGTGGTCCCTTAGCAGGGCACTGCAGGCACCAGGAGTCAGCAGGATGTGGGATCTCCTTGGGATGGGATTGGCAGAAGGTACCCCCCAGAGCTGCTCGTCTCTGATGGAGATGTGGGCTGGGAGCATCCCGGGTGTCCCAGCACTGTGGGTACAGCGTGCCAAGTGCAGGGAAGGAGGAAAACAGGGAAAGGAGGAAAGAATTCCAAGTCATGTCCCAGGTATTGCTCCTCTTTAAACCCGCATCGCTCCCTAGGGACTCACAGAACATGATCCCAGCTTGCTGTGAGGCATGGGCTGCATCCTAACCAGGAGAGCCCACACAAGCACAGAATCAACTGGGTTGGAAAAGACCTTTAAGATCATCAAGTCCAACCTTTACCCACCACAAAACCATGTCACGTCCAAGCAGGCAGGAAGATGGATGTGCACCCCAGGAGCTGTTCTCCTCCAAACAGAGCCCAAGTGTTTCCTGAATCCATCTCTCCCAAGCAGATCCCTACTAAGAACCCATCTCAGCATCCCCCTCACAAGCAAAGCCCTTTGCCAGATGGAGAAGTGCTCCTCATCCCTCTCCATCACCAGGGATGAGGAACAAGCACTCACTGAGCAAGTCCAAGCACACAGCGACTGGATGGAGACTCCAAATCTCACCACACACAGAGCTCTCCAACCCAGTGTTTCCCCCCACAAAGGTTAAGCTCACGTCCCTGCTGCATTTATAGGACCCTTCCCAGTGATTGCAGCCCTTGGGAACGTCTGGAGCATCACACAAGAAGCCAAGACCTTCCCATAAAGCAGAGTGCCCTGGCCCTCTCCTCTGCTTGGTCACCACACGGTCCTGCATCCTTGGTCCTGCATCCTTCTGCACGGTCCTGCATCCTTCTGCTCTGCCCTGGGATACTGCCCAATGCCTTCCCCATGCTGATGCTGACCCAGCAGCATCCCTCTTCCCTCCTGTACTCCACACACCTCTCCCTGGGCTATGCTCAGATGCTTCCCCAGCAATCCCAGCACATGCAGGCTAAGGCCAAAGGCTTCCAATAAAGAAAGGAACAAATCCCAAAGGGAATCCAGGCCATTTGCATCCTCCTGCCTGCGTGTTTTCACATGCAAATCACCACTGCACAGTCCTCCCTTTCTTCCCAGGTCTGGGAGGA